AACTGCTGAGTCATCTCTCCAGCCCCTCATTTCTTTTTAATAATGCTAATTTCTTTAACACAACACCCTCCCCTCTTTGATCATAACTTGTAACATACTTCTTTTCTGGTCAAATGGATCGAACTGCACGTTTCCATTCTCTCTGCCTTGTATTCCTAATTCTCACTGTAATTCTGACTGAAAGCATCCAGCAAAACCTTTGCTACCACCTGACTGTGAAGCTGCCTTGAAATTTTCTACGTACTTGAATTTGCTCATCAACTTTAAATCTAACTTCCAAAAAAGTCTCAGGACACGGACAAAGTATAGATCAGGTGATTGCTAGACTGTAACACAAATGACTTCTGGTCCCATTCTCCCTGGAGTCCGTGTTCTCACTTGAAACTTCATGAGCCCAGTCTTTACCATCCGCATACCCATCAGCATCCTACGGTCTTCTGAGCTCCCACCAGAATCACACATTTTTCTCTTTTCACAGAATTCTAGAGACTCCTCTAGCCCACATCTCCAACATTTTCAAATTCTTCCAGCCAACTTCAAAGGCTTCAGAACCACATGTAGTCACAGCAAGGATCTCACTCTTGGTACCAAGGTACCAATTTTCTGTGCTAGCTAGTCTTTCATTGCTGTGATGACTGCCCAGAGGAGTATTCTAAAGGAAGGAAGGACTTATTTGGACTTGCAGTTTCAGAAGTTTCTATGCATGGTAACTTGATTCTGTGGTTTTGGGACCCATGCATGGTAAAGCAGAGCATGATGGAGGGAAATGGGTGGTGGAGCACAGCGCCTCACCCCATGGTAGATAGGAGACAGAGGGACTGACAGGAAGAGTCTGGGAACAAGGTGTTTATTCTCCTACAGCCTTCACCTCCAGTTACCTTCTTCCTCCCACTGGTCTCATCTCTTGATACTATATTTAGCAATGAATTTATCAAGGAACTGATCCATTTTAAAGTTTCACCCTCATGACATGATACAGTTACTTCTGGAAAGCCCATCGGTTGGCAAATAAATCTTTAACACATGACCCTTATGGGGAGACTCTACATCTAGACCATAGCAACAATAAACTCATGCATTGAAACATCACATGCTGCTCCACAGACATGCACAAATTTGTGTTTTTATATACAAGCTAAATGTTATTTAATTTTTTTAAAGAAAGAACTTTATAGCTGGGTGTGACAATGTACACCTTTAATTCCAGCACTCAGGAGGCAGAGGCAGG